TAAACCCAAAACCACTAAAGCCCTAAACCCTGAAGTTCCAGAGAGCCCTTCACCCCCCACGCTTCCTCGCGCTTTTTGCGTTTCGAGGGCCCTGGTGGAAGTGGTTCTTGCATCGCCTCATCCGAGACCCGAGCCTTGGCTTTGGGGTTTAGGGTTTGGGGTTTAGGGTTTAGGGTTTAGGGGTTTGGGGTTTAGGGTTTAGGGTTTAGGGGTTTATAGGGTGTCTAGGGTTTATGGGTTAGGGTTCAGGGTTTAGGGTTTAGGGGTTTAGGGTTTAGGGGTTTAGGGTTTAGGGTTCAATTTCGGACTTTCCGAAAACAGGGGGGGGGGGGCCTTATTTTGGGGTCCTTATAATAGGCCTTGTTTTTAGGGTGCCCTATTTTTGGAAACCCCCCATCTGGGATTCTTTATCCCATTGAATAGGCGCTTCATAGACTTTCAGGATGCTCAAGTACGTTCAAAAAGGAATTACAGGGACTTGTGTATGATGTGAGTTTCAGTGAGGGTTTAGGGTTTAGGGTTTAGGGTTTAGGGCTTTTGGATTATCATGCGATTTTGGCAGACAAGATTTGAACAGACTTCGCTGTCTTGACTGGTCTTTATCAAGGTATGTAAACACTGCTGGGATTCTTGATGCGAGATTAGTTGACACCTGTTACACCACGGCATGCCGTGCCAAGCCATGCCAAGCTGCACATTGGGCAATTCTCGAAATTCGGTCCCTTTTAGGGTCCTTTTTGCAAGGGTGCCATACTATGTTTGGGAACTAACAGGGGGGCCTATTTGAGAGAACTAACCTATATTATTTCGGAGGTTCCTTATTACGTATAAGCATAGTATAGTATACCCCAAAACCCTATTCTAATTACCAAGGCCCCTACATTACCACATGGGTAGTTCTCAAAATTAAGATCCCTTTTGGGGTCCCCAATATAGTACGGCACCCTTTTAAAGAGGACCCCAAAAGGGACCCTGATTGTAGAAAACCCTAAACCCTAAACCCCAAACCCTCAACCCTAAACCCCTAAACCCTAAACCCCTAAACCCCAAATCCTAAACCCACCCACATAATAAGCAGAAGAGGGCCAGGCCGAACCAGGTCACTTTGGGCCAAAATCAGAGGCCAAGCGAAGCCGCACTTAAGAAAACACCACTCTCTGCGGGTGTTTCGAGTAAGTGTTCAGGGTTTAGGGTTTATGGTTTAGGGTTTAGGGTTTAGGGCTTGCTTGTTTGCCTGGTTGGTGTTGTTCATGAATTAAGAAGAGTTGTATCAATTAAAACCCCACATGAATGTAACCCAACTGTTGAAACTCCCCGTGTGTACTTGCATTCCGTCCAGCCTTCTTCACTGAATGCGCTCTCCTTCCATATGGGCATTTCTCTAAATCAGGGTCCCTTTCTAGGTCCCCAAAATAGTACGGCACTCTTATAAAAGGAGCCCCAAAAGGGACCCTAATTTAGAGAACTACCCATATCTTTCCGCAGAACGTATGAAGCCGACCAGGGTGGAAAGCTAACAGCATGGTATGCGACAACAAAACGGCCGCAATGTGCGATTTCTCGAGTTCTTTGCCTTTGCGGCCCCTGATGGCTGAGGATCTTCTTCTACCCGTTAGCGGGTCTATTCGTGCCAGGGGCTGAGGGGAAAGCATCACAGCACGTCCGTTTCCCTATACCCTGGCCCTATACCCTGTGCCCTAGTTCCTAAACCCTAGCCTGAACCCTAATCCTTACATCCTAAACCTCAAACTCTAGACCCGAAGCCCTAAACCCTCAAAACAAAACCTAAACCCTAAACCCTGAACCCTGAATCCTGAACCGTAAGCCAAAACTAGAAGGTACCTGAATTACGGGACTACTACAATAAGGGGCTCAAGGGGGTATCCCATGCCCCCTTGTCAGCGTCGACTGCTCTCAGGGCTTGCTGATTGAGTTTAATGCAGGGGCCGAACAAGATTACCGATGTTTTTTTATTTTTATTTTTTGGGTGGGTTCCCTATTCTAGTTATAGTATAATGGGCCCAAAACTCAATTCTGATTATCAAGGCCCCTACATTTTCGAACTCTTATAGTAACCCTTATAGGACCCCTTTAAAGGAAACCCTATTCTAATTATTAAGGCCTCTACATTATCGTTATGAGCCCCGTAAAGCGGCCAGCTCCAGATCTTCGCAGAAGGTCAGCCGCGCCATCCAAGTCCGCACTGTTGCCACTGGGGATCAAGCCTCCGTGGGCTAAGGGTTTAGGGTTTGGGGTTTAGGGTTTAGGGTTTGGCGTTCAGGGTTTAGGGTTTACGGCACTTTCAAAGCGCAAGTTTGAACCCTAAAGCCTTAAGGGTAGAACCCACTAACTTCAAGTCTTGGTGCAGCTGAGCGGGTGATGCCATGGACACCGAAAGTCGTTCCTGAAGCGCCGGCGGAAGATGCCGACTCCCCTTGATGTCCAGGAGAAGATCCGGATTGGGTTTAGGGCTTAGGGTTTAGGGTTTAGGGTTTAGGGTTTAGGGTTTAGGGTTTAGGGTTTAGGGGCGAATAGTTACCAGCACTGCTTTGGGGGTTCCTTATTCTAATTATAGTATAACCTTCCCCGAAACCCTATTCTGACTGTTGAGGCCCCTATAGTAGACTCTCGACGGCCTTGGCCTTGTTTGGGGCAAGAGTCCATCTACAGGAGGATCCCTCCAAAAGACACGGTACTACTGTACGAGGCTATGCGGTTTAGGGCCCTAAGCCCTAAACTCTAAGCCCCAAGCCCTAAACCTAAACCCTCTAAACCCTAAGCCCTAAAGCCCAAAACCCTAAACCCCAAAACTCCAAAATCCCAAATCCCAAAACCCCAAACCCCTCTAAACCCAAAAACCCACCCTAAATCCACCTCCAGGAGCGCGCCGAGCGTGAGCGTGCCGCCCGGAACCTGGCGTCCTCCTCGGCATCGAGCACGGATCGCTATGTCGGGGAAGGACAAGGTGCAAAGGGTTTAGGGTTTAGGGTTTAGGGTTTAGGGGTTACCACAAAGGTTGCTTTTAGTGTTACTATAAGGGTTGCTAGAAGGATTGCTAGAAGGGTTCCTATAAGAGTGACTGAACTTGAAAGGGTTCAGGAGTTCTGGCTTTTTGGGCTCGAGGCTTGGGGCTTAGAGTTGAGGGTTGGGGCCATGGCAGCCCAGAATGAAACCCCTAAGAAGCCGACCATATCCTAAACCCCACACCCCGATCCATTGGGTCTGCAGCAAATCATCTCTGGCGACATGTTGTGCCAGACCATGTGCCCGCATGCATCCTTCAACTCCCGAATTCTTGAAACCCGAGAGAACAATGCAGCAGAAGATTACGGCCCAAGTAAGGCTGCACTGAGGCTGCGGCGAACACTAAACACTAAACCCTAAACCCTGAACCCTAAACCCTAAACCGCCACTCTGCACCTGGTCTCCGAGCTTCTTTGGGTTGGACCCTAAAGCCCAAGCCCCGGAGCTGCACTGAATTCAGGCGTGTCGGAAGGTGCCAAGAGCGCCAATGATGAGGAGGCGGAAGAGGACGGTTTAGGGTTTAGGGTTTGGGGTTTAGGGTTTGGGGTTTAGGGTCATAAAACCCTACACAAGCCATTACAGGGAACGACTAAGAGAACCTTCATACGCTAGAGAGCCCTTCCAAAAGCCAAGCCGAATTCCTGAATTCGAAGCCCCAAACCTTGAGCCCCAAACCCTGAACATTAACTGATTAAGCCCCAAGCACTAAAGCCCAATATATGGGGTTTTATCATTACTTATATTATTTTGGGGGTTCCTCACCATAACTATAGTATAATATAGTGTATCCCAGAACCCTTACACGCAGATGCCCTAAACCAAAGACTTCCCTGTACAGATTCTGGACTCCCTGGCCTAACAATACGATGCAATGCTTCGACTTTGGCAATCCATCTGCAGCAAGTTATAGATTTCTTCTTTACATGTGTACATACACATTCGTTGAGGATGCATATGTCGTCCTTTGTTTCGCTCTTCGTCGACAGGCTTTCGCCCGCATCACCCCAAAGCCCTATTCTAACTGTTAAGGGCCTTATACAGAATCCTTATAGTAACCCTTATAGTATCCCTTTCAAGGAACCCTTTAAAGTTACCCTATTCTAAGTAGTAAGGCCCGTATATTACCATGAGCCCTGAACCCTAGGCCCTAAACCCTAAGCCCTGAACCCTAAACCCTATCTTACCATGAGCCCTGAACCCTCAACCCCAATCCCAAACCCTAAACCCTAAACCCTGAACCCTAAACCCTATAATACCATGAGCCCTGAACCCTCAACCCCAAACCC